TGTATAGATTTATATTTATAAGTTATTAAAGCTAGCTTGCTTCTTGATTGCCAGAGCCTGATAATCTTCACCATTTCTGATTTCCACTGGGTGGTTAAAATACAAATGCAACATCATATTTGAAGGTGTTTCTGACATGTATTCTATATATTCTGTAAACCACACATCCATTATCTATGACATCTCTATGTCTTTATGTAGTGTCACAATGATGACTTCACCCTCTTATTTGGGGAGAAAAGCACCAGTTCTCCTTCAGAAATTTTTAACTAGATTGCAAGTCTATCGTTATCAATAAATATCAAATAATTTAAAAATACCCATAACAGTGATATTTTGCAGTATCAAGAAATCACATCACAAGTGGATAGTGAAAGTATGGTCTTGACATTTACATTAGGGTGAATGGGTATTATATCTGTGCCTCTTATAGTCACATTTTCCAATGTACATAACACAACGATTTTGGTATTAAAACAAATCTTTTTAAATAGCTAATTTTATAAAAGCTTTAATTTATAATTGTCTAACCATGTGGCCATTCAGCAATGCATGTTCAGAGACAAAGTAATTTAAATTAGCTCAATAAATGTTGGCCTTTAACAAGGACATTTTTAATAAAAAACAGACAATGACGCATCAGCTTCCAATAGGTTTTCACACTATGAAGCATTAAAGGCAAACAAATTAGGAATGTCCATAGTATAAGTTGCACATTTTTGTATTTTACAAGTTAAGAAAAATGTATTTCCTCTTCTACCAACAAAACAACAGAGCACTTTACAGAAGTATTATTTGATAATGCTTTATTAATAAACAAGAAAATAATTTTCTCTTGTTCTTTTAAACGCAAAACAATTTGCAGAACGTCACACACATCACTGATAGCCTAACATGAGACTGAGTAGATATCACATCTGCACTGAGTAGATATCACATCTGACAAGAGCACAAAAAGGACTACAGAAAACAAGAGGGTACCATTCATGTCAACAAGTTTTTTTCACCATTTCTCAATATCTAGAAACAAAAACCCCCTTACACTTTGCTCCCCCCAAAAATGAGACATTATTAGATGAAGAAAAAGATCAGCAGGCTTCAGAACAGATTCTGTTTATCTACTTTGGTCGTGCATCTTTCTTAATTACACAGCAACGGGCAAGCTTGCTATCCTCATTGAGTGGAGGCTGCAATTTCACTGTCAAAGACAGCCTCCAAAACAACAGACATCTATTCAGTGGCTCTGTCAAGAATACAGAATATTTTTATATTTAGGATCGTGATCCCACATCAGCAAGAAGCAGTGGACTCCAAGTCGTCTTAACCTTGCTTATTCCCTCTGCCAATGAATGGAAGATGATATTGACCTGTTTGTTTTCCAACATCTCAATTTTTAAAAGATGCAGCAATTGTTAAAAAATGCAAGAGTCTAACAGTTCCCAATGTGGCTGACTCAAATTGTACAAACTTAACACAAAACACTATGGGAGACACTGAGACATGTCACTAAATTCTGAATAACTACTTCAATTCCTTTACTAAAACTATGCGATTATGCGGATTTGTCAATGTCCTCTTTTACATAATGTATAGATTATAAAATGGAATAAAAAGTCAACTAGATGTAAATGTATATAAGTCCATACCAAGTACCTATACTTATACAGTAACAATATTATAGAGACTTTTGGTTGTAATACAACTGCTCATTCCCTGGTTGGGACATCAGTCCATCACAGGGCCAAAGTGAATAAAAAAGCCTATCCAACTTCCAACCATTTATCTAATTCAGGGTCATGGGGGAGCTAGAGCTTATTCCAGTAAGCAACAGACACAAGACAGGATACCCCCTGAAAAAACATCAGTCCATCACAGGGCAGACACAGACACACACTTACACTAGTGTCAATTTTCCTAGAAACCAATTAATTTACCATTAATTGGATTTCACTGGGGAAACCAGAGCACCCAGTGAAATCCCATACAAACACAGAGAGAACATACAGATTTCTGGCAGGTAGCACCCCAGGTCTGGTATTAAATCCAGCTCTCTAGTGCTATGATGCAACAGTGGTCACCCCCCATGTGTCACCCCTTATAGCCGATGAAGTGGGGTTAAAATATCTTTGGGAAGTATATAAAATAACTTAGTGGAAGGTACATAAGAGAACTCAGTGACAACCCAAATTAAAATATAGATTGACATCTTATATCACAATATAAAACTATGTGGCCACTGTGCTTATCACTGACCCACAGCAAAAAAAAAAAAATAATAATAAAGAGAACACTTTTGTTTACTGTACTGTATTTATGGTGCAATGATAAAAAGAAAAGCTCAGAGATTGAGATCATTTCTTCACAGGGACAAAGGTGCAGTCCTATCTTTCCACAGAGGAGATGGAATCACATGCAGCTCCTCACGAGTGACTCTACTGGTTTTTGTTCTGCTAGAAGGGATTTGCGTATCTTTTTATCACAGGTGAGGAGGGCCCAAATACCAGGGAAAAGCAGGAATTATGTATTTTGCTCAGGACCAGAAAATAAGAAACAATATTGTTTTCATAGATAAATGTTTCTACTGTAGAAAGATGAAGAGAAAGCTGAACTGCTCCTGTCCAGAGATTTGTGCTGTACTGTGCTGAAAGTTTCTAACATCCCAAAAATACAGTATACTTGAAACTACTTCTATACAAGGCACACATCAGGTTGGACAAATAAGCCTGTTCTGTACACACACACACACACATTATTTCAGTGCAAAACAGCAAAGTAAAAAGAAAATCAACATTTGTTCTTTTCTACATTTCAGCTGGAATGAGCCTCTACCTGCTCCTTTGCAGCTCGCAAACTGACAGCTCCTAACTTGAGCATCTTCAATATAAAACTACTTGACAAAGCTGGGCAATAGGAACCACGGGAATATTTTATTTTGGTGTGTGTGCAAGAAAGGGATTATTTTTAAAGAAATTATGTGGAAGGTCTGTGATTGTGACAGACATTTTGTCTTTTTGCCCAAAAGGTAAACTGCATGTACTCTGCCCGCCCTCCTTTCTATACAGAATCTGCGTTAACAGTTTTTACAAAAAAAAACACTAAAAAAGTAACAGAACATAAAAAAGAACTGTTCCTTAACGTTTTCCAGAATCATTGATCATAGCATCTATCTTTTTAGAGTCAATTCTGATGTTCACATTGTAAAGCTTGTTTCAGATGACTTTTAAATAAGGTTGGTCTTGGAAAAAGAACTTAATCATGGTTTGTGGCCCTTAGGTCACATTCAGTGAGGCAAACACGTTTCTAAATAAATAACATTATATGTTACAAATACTATAAAGTGTCCACAACCTTCCTCACTGACTGAACTTCCAGCTAGTGGGTAGTCACTTTACTTTTCCCCTCTCGCGTGCTCCATTGTCTATTGCAGTAGCCTGTCATCCACAAGCTTTCCACTGTTTCTAATTTGATACAATACTCCAGCGGAAAAAAAAAACGTTTCTGAAGACGACTCCATTTAGCTGCTTTAGAAGACATTATGTGTGAACATGGGTTTCAGAGACTGTGCTTTGCAGAAGCCCCTTGATGCATTCTGTATGGCTGGTGTGTGTGTGTACTGCATTCTTCCCTGCAGTAGGTCTTGACGCGTTTCAAGACTAGCACGCAGCTCATCCAGCAAGAGAACCACACAGATCGAAGGCAACGGGACACAGGGCAAAAAGAAAATAAAAACAAAATTCTGACAATTACAGAGCAAAAAAGATCTACCTGTACATCTGTACAGTATGCCAATCATACAAATACACATCCAAATACTTACAAAGGTCTTTATGAACCCATCGGGTACACGAAGCATAGAACTGCATGTTCTCGGCACACTTCAGAAATTCACAAAACGCAATTGTGTTTGCAAACTAACTTCAAACAGTATTTCCTTTACTGGTCTGACTCACTCTGCGCTTCCTGATCAGAGCACTGACAACACAAACAACCCTAAAAAGTACACGACCATGAACTCATGGCATTATGCAAACGAGGGCTTGACCTGTCTGGGGAGAACTGCAACTTCTAACCATCGCGTTTCATTTTATTCAAAAATCGTGTACGTTTACAAATCATCTTTAAAGTACAGTCTGCGTAAAAATTATATCTAAAATATCAACATATTATATATATATAACCATAAGGGTGTAAGAGAACCTTATTAGTATGCATTGATATGTGTCGTGCACTCCATTTCCTTACATATCAATGCACTGAACCGAAACCTCATTCATAGATATGATAACACTTCTTATCGTGTTGAGCTGTACATTGGTACCGAATATAATGGTCATTTTGTTGAGAAATAACTCAGCAATGTCGACAATTCGAAGAATACTGTATAAAAACACATCAAAAGATGTAAGAGACAGACTTACAGACCAGTAACTCTTACTAAAATAAGATCTCACCCATATACAATAGTTAATGTGAAACACCCTGCCCGTTCAACCAGAAGGACTTCGTACTTGGTTCAGCGGAGCGGTCTTATTTATGCAAATAAATCACCTTCACGGTTTCTTTAATAATTTAAGAATCCCCTTTTTACACATCAAGGCCTGACCTTCGCAAGAACTGTCATTTCTTGTCGGACAACAGTGCCTCTCTTGACGCTGTAAACAACCCCACTGAACACAGCAGAAACTCGACGGTCGGGTGTTTACCTGCTTGGGATAACAGTCTAACGTCAAAAGTTAGGTCGGGAAGAGTGACAACTACCTGGTGAGTATCACTTATTCAACTGGCAATGAATTTGTGATCTTTTTATTGAATTAAACCATACGTATTATACAAACATATTCGAACGATCGGTTTAAGCCGAGTCTCAGACCCAGTTCGGCACCTGGGAGTTACGAAGTAGCCAAAACGCATCGACAGCGACTGAGCAGACATACACTATATTTTAAACAGTAGCGCTTTAGATGGACTACTAAGGCATTTTATACAAATTTAAATCTTACCCGTATCTAGGGGGAAACTAGCGTTGCTGTACTATATCTCTATGTATCCCTGAAGAGCTGTATTCCTCTTTATTTTGGGATCCACTCCAGTTTCACTCAAAGGAAGAAACTTCCACCATCTTCGTAACCTTCTCACGTGACAAACGAAGGTGGGCCGCCCATGACGCACGACGATGACGCGCACGTTTACGTGACGCATACCGGAACCCCACCTAACGATTGCTCCTTCGGTCTTCGATTGGATAATGTAAACAGACCCCGGACCTCTGATTGGTCCATCTGTTGGTCGTCACGGCGGCTCGGAAAAAGATTGCGTTCAGGTCGCTTCCTGTACCAGCACATTTTTAGTGTAAGTACAGTACATATTAAGCAAGTCCAAATTCCCCTTCGGTCTTACGCCATATCCATATCTTCAAAGCTAGACATTATTATTTACATATCAGATAAATAAAATAAACTGAACTTATCAAACTGATTGACTATGTTCATAATATTTAGCTACTTGTTAGGGTGGTAGCAGAGGAAAGTGGTCCTCAAAAATGTTGGCAGAACATCACACATGAAGCTAACTGCCTGCCTAACATGAAACAGTGCACTGATTAATAATAATAATAATAGCTTACACGTATATAGCACTTTTCTGGACACTCCACTCAAAGCACTTTACAGGTAATGGGGACTCCACCACCACCCACTCCACTCCACCCCTCCACCACCACCAACGTGCAGCATGTGACGGCAGCCATAGTGTGCCAGAATGCTCACCACACATCAGCTATCAGTGGGATTGGAGAGCAGAGTAATGAAGTAGATGGGGATTATTAGGAGGCCATGATTGGTAAGGGCCAATGGGAAATTTGGCCAGGACGCCAGGGCTATACCCCTACTCTTTTCGAGAAACACACTGGGGTTTTTAATGACCACAGAGAGTCAGGACCTCAGTTTTACATCTCATCCGAAGGACGGCGCCTATTTACAGTATAGTGTCCCCATCACTATACTGGGGCATTAGGACCCACATGGACCACAGGGTGAGCGCCCCCTGCTGGCCCCACTAACACCTCTTCCAGCAGCAACCTTAGTTTTTCCCAGGAGGTCTCCTATCCAGGTACTGACCAGGCTTACACCTGCTTAGCTTCAGTGGGTTGCCAGTTGTGAGTTGCAGGGTGATATGGCTGCTGGCTAGATTAGATAACAGATTGGACAACAGATTGGACAAGAGCGTAAGAAGAGCTACAAAAAAAGAGGAAGCTATTCTGGTCAACCTGCTGCTCACAAAAATCTTCTAGGTTTACAATATCTAGAGAGGAAACAACCTCCTTATATTTTTCCCCTAACTGCATGATTATATTAGAAATAAATTTTTAGTCAGTTTCTTTCTCCATCTCATACTCTAGTGCATGAGACTAGTGGGGGGGTCTTCTTCCAAGTCCACATAAGCTTTCATTTTCTAAACTGTACATTAAGTTTAAGAAGAAAAAAGGTGTCTGAGACCAGCAGTCCTCTGGTTCTGTGCCCCTTGGAGAGAAGAATTTGAAGCCTGTGAGTGGTCTGAATCTCAGAGGAGACCTGTGAAAACCAAGACTCCACTACAGACAGAGGAACCCACAAGTCAAGGATAATGAAATACAGGTTCCAATCGAGGACCACTTGTTGTGGACAAGTGAACTGAAGAAGCCAGCTGGCTGTCATCCTGCTTTCAACCACCTTTATCCTTAAACCTTTCATTACCACTGAAAATTCAAAAGGCAGATCTGAGAGAGCACTCTGAGTTAGTACCATCAGTTACTGTTAGCAATTACAGGCAGCATGCAAATTGAGCTTGAAAAGTGTGGAGAAGGCCTGCATCGTCTTCCTTGGCCAGAACAAATCCCCAGATTTCAATCCCAGATTTCAGTCGCTCATCACAACCTCAGTCCCACACAACAGCTGCCCCAAAACCATCTCCACCAAAGCTGCTATACGTGATGGAGCTGAGCTGCGAGGACAGTGTCTGTGGAATGCCTACCAGGTCTTGCTCCACCTGTTTTTTCTGTTCCTAGAGGCACAACACAGCATGCAAGGGCAGTTCCTATTGTTCGAGCCAGTGAGAGCAAAATGATCAGCTAAACTAAGGAAAACTAGCTGGAAGGCAAGACTCCTCCTTGTCAGTACGGCTAACACTGCTTCCCTGGTCTTGCTGAGTTCCTGGCTCATTCATCGTGAGGACTCTAGTGATCTGATTATAGAATTGAATTTATTCAGGTGCTGGAGCTCCAACTGCACTCTTTGTGCTTTACATTGATGCTGAAGCTCACTTAGTTTGTCGTGTCTGTGCCTTTTGGCACACTCATGCTCAGGACACAGACTTTCCCATCCACGTCTAGTTGAAGAGAAACCAACTGCTTCATTGTTTTCGCCTGATCTTTTCAACGCAACAATCAAGGATCCGACAGGAAGGGCACTTTAAAATCAGGATAATGGTTTCGCAAAAGGCAACGGTTTAAAATCGCGTAGTTACCAGTAGGTGGAGCTGTCGGTCTGGAAAAAAGCTCGTATAATAAAAAACAAAGCGCTTCCCAATACTATACTTAATGCAACCCCTAAAAACAATGCTTTCCATCAATCATTTAAGCATAGCATTTCGAATAGTTTTATTTATTAGTCACTTCTTGGTATGTCTTTAAAACGACTCAGAATTAAATTCCTTTGACACAGGCTGCGTCATAGGAATTTGAAGTGGAAGAACAAGTTAATAATAACCCGAAACAGTAATCCGATTGTGCCTTTCAAAAATGCCAGAGGCTGTAGCCATCCTAAATGCGCAATGAAAGAGAAGCCTTCTGTGCATCGCTTGCTTTAAAGAAGCCCCTGGAAGGAGCCAGCCAATCACGTCAGTGGAGGGCGGGGTTACTTTTTGTAACGAAGGAAAGTTGCTTGGATGCGGAGCAGCATCTTAAAGCACAAACTCGGCATCTCAGTATTCCTTTCCTTAGGCAAGATTCTTCCCAGATGACAGGAGGAGATCCCTTCGAGCACTGAATAGCGAAACCAAACCGCACAAATTAGAAATTAATCGCCTGTGTCCTCGGACCTATTTGCGAACAGGGTTTAAAAACGATTTCTAGATACTGTACACACATCTTTCTTGCAAGGGTTTAAAAATGATGGCATGCACAGAGATAATCACGATGTGCCTCCAGTCTGCAAAGCAACAACACTTGTACTCCAAACACCAGCAGCAGCTACTGCAGAAGAATCCCGTCCAAGGACTTTCTATTTTCCAAGATGTAAGTAAAATACAGTATATTATAATTTTATTTAGTAATATATCGTCTTACTTTATTAAAGGAACACCGAGCACATTTTTCGGTGTTGTTCGCTGGAAACCTCATAAGTGGTGATTTAGACTTGAAAATCGCATATAAAGCGCAGCATCTTCAGTAAGCTACAACGTTAGGTGAGATTTATATGGGTTTAATTTACATTACAGATTAAAAAAGGAATATTAAATTACCGCACAAAAGTAAAATAGCTACAGTCGCTGTGAAGATTACTAATAAAAAGCCACGAAATTTATTTCTGAACTGTAAACTATCAAAAAGGTTTTCTGTTGTATCAACCAAGAAATAAGCTAAAAAGCATATTTTCTCTTGAGAATTGTATAGAGCACGTCACTTTTAATCGTAAAACAGCCGTGTCCTACCGTATGCGCTGCTTCACCCTCAAACTGCGCCCTGTGACACCCCGTATCAGGTATGGGCGTTAATGTATGAACCCCACCACCAAGACTCGGTGTTTCTGTCTCGTTGTGTCTTTTTACTGCTTCATAAGCAAAATAAATTGTCTGAAATCGTCAAAATGTCCATTTCCACTAAACAGCTTCATAAAAAATCACTGTAGGTTAAAGGTTTTTTTTTTTTTACCGACGTGTATACTTCACGCATTACTCAGCTGTTGGCGGTAACTCGTTAGGCCTGCTGATGACTGGAAAAGTTATTTTTGATTAATGTGTCGGGGACTGAGTTGATAATTTTCTTCATCAGTCCTAATTTGTATGTTCTCTAGGTTTCGTTGTGTTCGCTATGTACAGTAGTGTAAGTTCGGGACAATCTTCAATTCTGATGGTAGCAACGTGGAAGCGAATCAACTTGTCTCAGATCGAGGTGTTTGTTAGAAGGGGGTTTATCAAAGCTGTCAGATCGATTCTGTTGTTCTATACCTCGAACTACACGCCAGTTCCTTTAAACAGGTTTCGCTCTTTCCTGACACAAGACAAAGGCACCAGGGCTTCAATTGAACAGAACAACTTTTTGCAGTATCTCCATCAGCAGCAGGATGGGGAAGTTCCTGTAGTACAGTGCCAAGTCTTGTGGAATTATGCAGCTTCTGTGCTTGCAAGAGTGCCCTGCACTTCCTTGATGTGGTTCACTTCGGGGGTGTATGAGGCTATATTTTTGAATAATCTTTTTAGCAATGTTAATGAGAGATATTACGTTTCAATTGCTATGCGCGATAGCATCTGTCTCTGGAGTTCATGCATTTGAAGATTTGCCCTTGTCCAATATTGCCTGTATTAGCTCGAGAACGCTTTTATTTACCAATCACAGTGTGTGTCGCTTATCAGTTGATTTTTATTTTTCATGGCTTTGAAAAACTATGGTGTTTAATTTTTAGTATACCATTCGATTTCGATGATTAACTTATTTGCATTAAATGTTATGGGAGTGCGGAACATGGTATCCTGATATGATGTGGAAGCCGATACCCAGCCTTCTTTCGTGAAAAGAGACTATTGGATCAATTAGCTGCTTAAAAAGTAAACGAGCTACTGTTCATGATCCGACTGGCCTTTCCTCGTTCGTAATCTTACTCCTGATCTAGTTAAAATATTGTATTCAAATAGACCAAAATATTGTAAAGTGGGTTAAAAACTGCACCAGTACCATTTTATCGGCGCAACAACACATCAGGAGGAGTGAGAAGCACATCTGCTTCTGTGTGTTGTGCTGATGCTGGTGACGGTCGGCGTGGATCGCTGTGTTACTGTAATAGGGCGCTTAGGACGACGGTTTTCATGTACTTTTGTAACTTGTGTACAAATAAAATGTGAAGATAGCTTTGATTTTCTAAATTTATTTCACAATTTCAAGGATGATTATCGACTCTTAATATTAATACCAGTTTTCAATTAGTTACAGACGCCTTGTTCTGTCTTTCCCACAAGTCTTTCAATACTGTAGTTACTGAGTGAATGAAGACGTTCGGTTCTGAGCCTTCCTGTCATGTTAATTTGAATCCCAAGGGCCTAGACCTTAGCCCACTTAATCGTAGCATCGGACTTTCATTTAAAACACAAGACGTAAAATGTTGAGATGAAGCGAAATGTTCTTTATTAGGTTTCTTGGTGCACGTTCGTTCAGGACTGTGTTCTAGACAAATTCCTTTTCTCCGTTTTACGTGCATTGAGTCGAATAGATCAGTAGCATAACAATCACATCTCAATATGTTGACATCGCGGAGTCGGAATGAAACCGGTAATTTTGCTTATAATAATTTTATTACTGACATAATAAAGTCGCATTGTTTCTATTGCATCGACATGAACGCGTTTTATGAGTAACCACCAGCATATAACAAATGTACAGTATATATGCTTAACAGATGAGTTAGGTATCACGAATAATTGTGCAAATTAACATTCTTTTCTGATATTATCTATTGGATACATGTTGTCATTTACGAACTGAAGCAGTTCTAATTGTTTCATAGCCTCGATCGCACACTGACGATTTGGGATTAAATCATGAAAATCTATAGGAGTCTGAAACAGTGGAAACGGACAAAGAATAGTAATTTTTTAACTCTTAGAAGCGGCGGGGCCCATGTCATGATTTAAAATACAATGGTAGTGTTTTTATACCAGTTTCAGTCTTGAAGACAGAATTAGTCGTTCCGTCTTGTGAATTCCAAATGCTTTTTCACACCTCTAGAGTTTTATTCAAATTAAGGCACTGTATTGCATAAAATAATCAATAGGTCACATGTACAAATGAAAAAAAAATATTTGTATTTATCACCCACTTAATTCCCTGTTTTTTAAAACAAAAATGCCTTTAGAATAAATGGGGTGAGGTAACTAGCTACAGACAATGATTCTGTTTTGTAATTCATATACATATGCATTTAATTTTAATCAGACTAAAATAAATTTACCAACTGAATCAAGAGGGAAATTTAGGGAGGCCACATTTTGCAAATCCAGATTAGAATTTAGCTAGGACACTAGTTATTTACAGCCCAGCTCACTGTACTGGGTCCTTGCTTTGGAAAGTCATCCACTAACACTATGTACAGCATCTGGTTTCTTTAGAGTCTCCCATTGAACTTGAATTTGAACTTGAACTTGAACTTTATTGCCATATGTAACCGGTACTGGTACAATGGAATTCTTACTTACAGAAAGTCTCTCGATTGTAAAACAAGTGTAAAAAACAAAACAAAGTGCAACCAGTGCATCAAGACAATGTACAAACAAACAATAGACAGTGTACAAGTAAACATGTAGACAGTTTGAATGTAAACAATACAGACGCGTAAACAATGACTGGAGATGTGCAATAGATAAGAAATCATATAGAGGTAGATGGTGATGGTGTAGGTGTGGTCCAAGGGGGATGGCTAAATGTGTTCGCCAGTCTCATTGCTTGTGGATAGAAGCTATTGAAGAATCTAGTGGTAAGTGTCCGTATGCTCTTATACTGTATCTCTTGCCTGAGGGCAGTGGGGTGAAGAGCTCATGCCCGGGGTGGTGACTGTCCTCTGTGATGGCCAGAATTCTACCATGGCAGCGGTCCTCATAGAGCTGTTTAATCTCGGTGAGACCACAGTCGATGATCTTCTGGGCCATATTGACCATTCTCTGCAGTGCCTTTCTTTCTCGCGAAGAGGTGTTGCCATACCACACGGCTCTCGATGGTGCAGTGGTAGAAGTTCACCAACACATGTATTGGCATCCCCCATTGCTTGAGGCACCTCAAGAAATAAAGGCGCTGCTGAGCCTTCTTCATGATAGAGTCAGTGTTCACAGTCCAGGTTAGATCTTTAGAGATGTGAATTCCCAAAAACCTAAAGCTGGTGACTGTTTCCACTTCCATTCCATCAATACTGAGTGGGCTGTGAGTGTATGGCCTGTGTCTCCGAAAGTCCACTATTAGCTCTTTCGTTTTCTTTATGTTCAAGAGCAGGTTATTGCTATGACACCACCTAAGCAGCTGTACAACTTCATCCCTGTAAGTGGACTCGTCATCATCACTGATCAGTCCTATTATTGTGGTGTCATCTGCAAACTTAATGATGCGGTTGTTGCTGTGTCTTGCTGTGCAGTCGTGAGTAAATAGGGAGTACAACCTTGGACTCAGACAGCAGCCTTGTGGGGTTCCAGTGCTCAGGGTGAGTGGTGTTGATGTTTTATTGCCTATCCGCACCACCTGTGGTCTCTCGATAAGAAAGTCCAGCAGCCAGTTGCAGACAGAGTGGCACAGACCTAATCCCCTGAGCTTTGTCACCAGTTGACTGGGTATGATGGAATTGAATGCTGAACTGTAGTCCACAAACAGCATTCTCACATACGAGTTCTTAGTGTCCAGGTGTTCCAAGGGTGTATGCTGAGCCAGTGAGACAGCATCATCCACTGATCTGTTGTTCTGGTAGGCGAACTGCAAGGGGTCCAGGGACTCTGTGATGGAGGAGTTGATGTGTGACAACACCAGCTTCTCCAGCCATTTCATCACCACAGATGTTAATGCTACTGGGCGGAATCATTCAGGCATGTCACTTTTGTCTTTTTGGGGGTTGGAACAATAGTGGTTTTTTTAAAGCAGGTGGGGACCATGGACTGTGACAGGGAGGAGTTAAAGATGTCCGTAAACACTGTAGTCAGCTGGGCTGCACATGTCCTCAGGACGCGAGGTGGTATCCCATCAGGCCCTGCAGCCTTACGGATTTTCACCCTGCTCAGAGTCTTCTGCACGTCCTGCTCTGAGAGTTTCAGAACAAACTTGCCCTGCACACTTGGGGTCTTCTCAGCATTGCCCGTGTTCAGAGCATCAATTGCAGTGCTGACTGGACCCAACCTTAAGAATGTTTGTACACAATGTGTATGTACATACTGTATGTATCTGCAATTCATCATTGCATACAGACTAACACAAATAAAGGCATGTTGCATTCCAAGATAGACAGAGACACCTGTCTACAGCCATACACCACATTGCTTTTTATTTATGTA